AAATTTGCCGTCTGCTAGGATTCTGGGGAATTTACCAGGGAATTTGCAGGGATTGCCCAGGAATTTGCTAAGGGAATTTGCTGGATTTTTTTCCGGGGATGTGCTGGGAAATTTGCCACGCGATTTGCTGGTGAATTTGCGTGGGAAATATGCCAGTGAAAATTGCTGGGAAATTGCTGGAAAAATGCCGGGGAATTTGCCTGGGGAAATTCACAGAAAATTTTGCTGGAGAAATTTTCACCTTTTTCCCTTCACCCCTGTGCTATTGTGGGAAGGGATCCAACAGCAATCCGCACAAACATTAACAGGCCTTTTGTTTGCGAAAAGTAGCTGTCGTGGAATTATGGGAATCCCTATTTGTCGTGATGAATATGTTTTTTTGAATCCTGAGAACATCATCTTGCCTTATTTGGCCAACTGTGTTTTCTTCATGAGGAAGGTGAAAAAATAAGAAAACACCTTGATTTGAAGCTTCATAACCCCTTATTCAAAAACAGCATATGTGCTTATTTGGACCCCTGATTCTTATTCAACGGAACCATTTTTTATTCATTGCCTAATAAAAACTGAATAAGGGTATGCCTCCTCTGAATAAGAAGAATTGCCAAATAGCAACTAATAGCAGCTAATAATTTTTCAAAATAGCTTAAAAGCAGCTAATAAGGTGCAAATAAGGATATGTATGTTTCCCCAAAAAAACAGCCCTGACCTGGGGGTGGTTCGACTTGGGGGTGGTTTGATAACCCATGAGTGTAGTGTGTGGAGTGGAAACTGTAGAGTGTGGAGTGCGGAGTGTAAAGTGAGGAGCGTGGAGTGTAAACTGTGGAGTGCGGAGTGTAAATTGTAGAGTGTGGAGTGTAAAGTGGGAAGTGTGGAGTGTAAAGTGCCGAGTGAGGAGTGAAAAATGTAAAGTGTGGAGTGAGGAGTGAAAAATGTAAAGTGTAGAGTGTGGAGTGTAAAGTGTAGAGTGTGGAGTGTGGGTGGAAAGTGTGGAGTGTGGAGTGAGGAGTGTAGAGTGCGGAGTGAGGAGTGTAAAATGTAAAGTGTGGAGTGTGGAGTGAAAAATGTAAAGTGTGGAGTGAAGAATGTAAAGTGTAGAGTGTAAAGTATAGAGTGTAAAGTGTAGAGTGTGGAGTGTGGAGTGTAAAGTGTGGAGTGTAAAGTGTGGAGTGAGAAGTGTAAAGTGCAAAGTGCAAAGTGTAAAGTGTAGAGTGTGGAGTGAGGAGTCTAAAGTGTAAATTGTGGAGTGTGGAGTCTAAACTGTAAATTGTGGACTGTGGAGTGGAAAGTGTAGTTTGTGGAGTGCGGAGTGTAAACTGAGGAGTGTGGAGTGTAAAGTGTGGAGTGAGGAGTGTGTAAAGTGTAGAGTGTGGTGGAGTGTGGTGGAGCGTGGTAGAGTGTGGTGGAGTGTTGGGTGTAGAGTGTGGAGTGTGGAGGAGTGTAAAGTGTCGAGTGCAAAGTCTAGAGTGTGGAGTGTAAAGTGTGGAGTGAGGAGTCTAAAGTGTAAATTGTGGAGTGTAGAGTGTAAAGTGTAGAGTGTGGAGTGTGGAGTGTAAAGTGAGGAGTGTGGAGTGTAAAGTGTAAAGTGTGGAGTGAGGAGTGTGTAAGGTGCAGAATGTGGTGGAGTGTGGAGTGTAGAGTGTGGAGTGTGGAGTGTAGAGTGTGGAGTGTAGAGTGTGGAGTGTAAAGTGTAGAGTGTAAAGTGTGGAGCGCATTATTATTGCGCCAGCCTCACAAAAGAACTTATGACACGGTATAAAGCAGGTTGGAATATCACAAAGTGCCTCGCCTGCCAAGCAAAACGGCATGACAACCTGCTTGGAAACCTTCGAAGGAGAGAGTTTGCAGCTTCCCCCATAGACACGGCGACGCCACAGGAAAACCAGAGACTCGAGACGAGACACGTGGGCGGAGCAAAACGAGCATTTCGTGCGAGACTTCCTCCAATTTTGACACTTTCGACGTGTTATCAAACAGGTTGGAATGTCACAAAGTGCTTCGCCTGCCACGCAAAACCACATGACAACCTGCTTGGAAACCTTCGAAAAGGAGAGGTTTTGCAGCTTCCCCCATATAGACACGGCGACGCCAGAGGAAAACCAGAGACGAGAGACGTGGGAGCATCAAAACGAGCCCTTCGTGCGAGACTTCCTCCAATTTTCACACTTTGTAACTTCAAAATCGACGTTTTCCTACGAGTTTTCGTAGGAACCTCTAAAATTGCTACCTCGAAATCGATGTTTCGTGCGAGGCTTCCGTCAATTTTCAGCACATCTCACAAAATGCCACGCTTGCCACGGAATCTGCACCTTGTCGCCACTTAACGCAGCCCTGCCAATGCGATTCGCAAAAAACACGCAACACGACGCGTCTAAAGTGTTGCGCCTGCCACGCAAAATGACGATGGACACGTCCAAAGCTCTGCGCCTGCCACGAAAACTGCAAAACGCATCTTCTGAAAACGTCGCAAAAGTATTGCGCCTGCCACACAAAACGACTTTCGACACGTTACAAACACGTCTGAATGTCACGCCTGCCACGCGAAACGAAGCAACGCGAGGCACGGCCATATAGCAATCTCGCGGACGGTTACGAACGGTTGCGGACGGTTGGGCAACGTCGAGCGAACACACCCGCAACCCCCGGACCCCCAGAGTGAAACAGGAACCCTTGCTACACATTCGGGAAAGAAAGGGAAAGCAAGGGAAAGGAAGGGAACGGAAGGGACAGGAATGGGAAAGGAAGGGAAAAGAAGGGAAAGGACGGGAAAGGAATGGAAAGGAAGGGAAAGAAAGGGAAAGGAAGGGAAAGAAAGGGAAAGGAAGGGAAAGAAAGGGAAAGGAAGGGAAAGAAAGGGAAAGGACGGGAAAGCAAGGGAAAGGAAGCGAAAGGAAGGGAAAGGAAGGGAAAGGAAAGGAGAGGTTGGTTTGGAAATCAGCCGCCGTCGCATGACCGTGCTCAAATGAGCTTGCTTGGCTATTGCACACTGTCACCCAAGGTTTCCGTGCAGAGCTGAAAAATTGAAATTTGCAGTGAATGCGTCCATAATGTTCATCACATCTTCTAAAAAGATAAGGTTTTGCAGCCGATATGGGTCTTTGGAATTTGATTCTAGGGTCCTTGGTGATTTAGTTCTACCTCTGATTGTGTGATATATGTTTTCCATTATTTAGTTCTTTATCTATCTTATCTATCAAGGTAGGTGGCCTTGGTATATACTAGTGAAAATGATCCCAAAGGAAAGATCGTCTTGGGTTAGTGTCCCTTGTCCCTTGGACGTTTCAATATTGTTAATTCTTATCCGTCCTTCGGTAGTCATGCCAAGGTGGGGATTGATATAATTAGTCTCTCCATCCATTTACCCTTCTATTCGTGGAAGTGCTAGTCAGAACAATCGATCACCAAGTTCAGATAGTTCTTTTTTGGGGTTGGGTACTTCGATATTTAAAATATTATATCTATGCTTTGCAAATGATCTGGGGACTCTGGAAATGGATTCTTGGGTCTTTCCAAATATTTTATATATGGTGGAATTGAATTGTATTAACGGTACCTTATTGAGGTAACCAATTGGTTGATTAAATGGGTATTATCTTACCATTGGTTATTTAATGTAACTTTTTGTTTCCACCATGCTCATAGATAATTATATGTGCATTATAGGCAGCCACTTGGTTGGTTAAATTGATATCATCCCAGTATCGGTTACGGTTATTTTTTCTATTATATTCTTTGGATTATCTGAGGCCCACTACCATTACTGAAGGGTACCCAACCCTTAGCTGGATCAAAATGGAAAAGGTATCAACCACGCTCTTGTTTTTTCTAGGGTGGTGCCCCCATATACCTTTGGTATAAAGCCACCAATGTTATCCCTGATGATCACTCTTTTTTTCAAGTGCTAAATTTCCCCCATTATTTCTACGTCTACATCATATATCCTTCAAATGCAATGTCCAAGTATGAATTTGGCGAACTCAGGGCGCAGAAATCTGCACCCTGATTTAGGCCAAAAAAAACATGCCGATATCCTAGGTGCTTGGTGGGGTATTTCCTAAGTTAAGTTGCAAGAATCTGCATTTAGACTTGGGCAATACAGAGGTTGCACCCTGGGATTTAGGAAAAAAAAATTGCCGATATCAGGGTGCAGAAATTTGCATGTGGACATGGGAAACAGCCTTACTATTGTATTCTGCCATGATTTTTGCCGCACTGGATTCGGGGTCCTTGATTTTCAGATTTAGGCAGAAAAAATTGCCGATCTTTTGGCTTGAGGGATCCCGTATCCATCGCAACCACAAATCCGTCGCATAACGCAATTTTATTTTATATTTTATCGAAGAACCCAACCCCAAAAAAACCTATCTGAACTACGATCGAATGATAATCGTTTGTTCTGACTGGCACTTCCACGAATAGAAGGGTAACTGGATGCAGAGACTAATTATATCAATCACCATCTTGGCATGACTACCGAAGGACGGATAAGAATTAACAATATTGAAACATCCAAGGGACAAGGGACACTAACCCAAGACGATCTTTCCTTTGGGATCATTTTCACTAGTATATACCAAGGCCACCTACCTTGATAGATAAGATAGACAAAGAAATAAATAATGGAAAACATATATCACACAATCAGAGGTAGAACTAAATCACCAAGGACCCTAGAACCAAATTCCAAAGACCCCTATCGGCTGCAAAACCTTAGATGCTGGCAAGAGGCGAAAAGGAAATATTCCAATTATTACTCAAATTTGTTTGCTGTCGTTTTGCTTTTGGGTTCTCAGGCCCCCCTTGTTTTGTTATGTTCGTTATGTTTGTTTTCGTGGTTTCTTGTTTTCTTGTTTTTTGTTCTTCGTGTTTTTTTTGTTTGTTTTGGTTCTCTTGTTCTCTCGTTTTTTTGTTTTTGGTTCATGATGTTTTTGTTCTTGTTTTTGTTGTCGTTGTTGTTGCTGTTGCCATCGTTTCTTCTAGTGGCAAAAACCCCTGCTGAG